GATTCATACATTTTCACTGCCCCAGGCCGGGCCCATCTTGGGCCCCAGAGAAGTAGTGTGTGCATACCTCCCTGGCCACGGCAGGAGGGCGCGTATACCACTCCCAGGCCCAGGATGGGCCGGGCCTGGGGCAGCGGATGTGTACAGATCTCGTCGCCCTAGATCAGGGGTCGAGGAGATCGTCGCCCCCGAGAGAGAACCCGTTCATTCGAAAAGCAACAGCGGCATGCACATGATGTTGGAGGTCTGCGCGGATCGCTTGGTCGGCGCTCGGCCCCGCGCGCCAGGGAGGTGGGATCAGCGCCGACTCAAGAAATGCGCGCGGACCTCCGAAAGTGTATGCTGATGCATGTGTTCCCTATATCCTAAGGTGTGGTTTGGGTCATGGTTGAAACGCCTCCGCCTTCCTTCTTCCTTCCTCTTTCCCGCCTTCTTCCTCCTCGTGTCAGTCTCACTCGCTCAGATTCACGTAGACGCCGACTCGCTTATATTTGGCCTCACTCATCCTCAGACTCGCTCACACTCATATCCACCCATACTCAGCTTAGTCGCAATCATATTCATTATTATTCAGATCACTGGCACTCATATCTGCTCACACACAGATTCACTTATACATCTGTCCATTCAACGCCTCGTACACACATTCTGAGCCTTTCATACACAGACCAGACACATTCAGTCACACTCCGACTTCCTCGCGCCCAGGCTAAGCCACGCCTGATCGAGCACACGCGGCATTTGGGTATCCCAAGGGGGTCGCCAGTGAAGTGGTCACTTGCCCGTTCGCCCCCAGATGCGGGGGATGTCTCAGGCAGTTTGCGTGTTTGGTTGCTCAGGCTCGCCGCTCTTGAGAGCTCAGTGATCACCGCGATGTAGCAGGCGTTGCAGATGGGCACCCAGTGGAGGGGCCGTCAGGGAGGGGACACTTACCAGTTCGCGCCCAGATTGCGGGGATGACTTATGCGGTTTGCGAGCTTGATTGCCCAAGCTCATCCTTTTTGAACGCCCAGTGATCACCGTGATAAAGTAGGCGTGGCATTTTCGGGCATCCAAAAGGAGAGCCGCCATGGAGGGGGACACTCGTGCGTTCGCGCTCAGAGCGTGGGGATGTCTCATGTGATTTTCGTGTGTCGTTGCCCAGTCATATGTACCTTTGAAAGCCCCATGCCCTCTGCGATGTAGCAGGCGTAGCGTGTGGGCCATGTGGATATATCTATGGCAATGTGCATTCTTAGTTGCTCAGATTCATGACTTTGGAGGGTCCTTTGCTGGCCGCGATACAGCAGTCGCAGCATTGGAACACCCAGCGGAGTAGCTGCCAAATTGTAGGACACTTGCTCGTTCGCGCCCAGATCGTGGGGAGATCTCGAGCGGTTTGCGGGTTTTGCCCCACCCCCCCTCCCCAAGAGCCATTTCTTCTTGAGAGCCCCATGGCTTTGGTTCGCCTTAAATCTGCCCAGTGTTTTTCGCTCTCTCTCTCTCTCTATATGTGTGTATGGGTGTGTATGCATGTATGTATGTATGTATGTATGTATGTATGTATGTATGTATGTATGTATGTATGTATGTATGTATGTATGTATGTATGTATGTATGTATGTATGTATGTATGTGTATATATATGTATATATATACATATATATGTTTCATTTTAATGCAACAACGCGTCTTCAGCTCGGCGTCCTGGAATTCATTTGTTGTTTAAAAGCGCTTTCTCAGGTCTCAACAAACATGTTAAACAACACACATGATGCGTTGGTTTAGCGTTTTCAGACTATTTAGCGTTTTCAGTCTGAACACGCATAGAACCCAACATAGAAAACGCTAAAACAACGCCCAGGGCGTTTTTAAGGCAAACCAAGCCCATGGCTACCGCGACGCAACAGGCGCGGCACTTGGGCGTCCCAAAGGGGGGGGGCGCCAGGGAAGGGGGGACGCTTCGTCGCGCCCTGACTGCGAGGACGTCTCGGGCGGTTGGCTCGTCTGGTGGGCCAGGCTCCTTCTTTTCGAGAGCCCCACGGCCATCGCGACGTAGCAGACGTGGCATTTGGGTACCCCACGGGGGAGCCGCCAGCGAGTGGACACTTGCCCGTTCGCGCCCAGATTGCGTGGATCGTGTGGAGGTCTCGAGCGGTTCGCTCGATTAGCGCCTTCGACTCCTCACGGTCATCTCGAAATAGCAGGCGTAGCAGTGTTACGCCCCAAGGAGGAGCCGCCCAGGGGTGTCGCACTTGCCCGCTCGCGCCCAGATGTTGGGGATGCCTTGTGTGGTTCGCTGGTTTTGGCACCCCCGATCCCTCCTACAGAGCCCCATGATCACCGTGACGCAGCAGGCCTGGCATTTGTGCACCTAAACGGGGGGCCGCCAAGGGGTGTTTCACTTGCCAGTTCGCGCCCAGATCGTGGGACCTCTCAGGGGAAACGCTTGCTGAGGCACCCTTGGCCTCTTTCCTTTCAGAGTCCCAGTGCCGTCTCGATGTAGCAGGCATAGCGTTTG